CCAGACATCGATCTCCCCTTGTCGGTGCTACGCTGGTAATAAATAGGCCGTGTGCTCGTAGTATGTTTGCGAAGGTTCTTGTGTGGGCTTCGTCACAATTTAGGGCGATGTTAAAATCTCCTCCCAGTATTATTGTTTTATTCAAACTTGAAAAGTCGGAGAGACAGGTGTCCAGCCCTTCAAAGAAATTGCCAATGTGGCCATTTGGAGATCGACATATGCTCAGAATTATTATTGATGTTTCTAATAGTTCAATGCCAGTCACTTCGAGGTCTAGATCGACACAATAACTTTCCAAATCAAGGGGTTTTATTGCTAGGTCTTCATTTGCAAAGATAGCCACACCTCCACCTAGACGTAATCTTCTGCAGTAGCATGCCACTAGCTGAAAGTTTTCAAATTTAGAGTAGAAATCAATTTCCTCTTCCGCCAACCAATGCTCACTTATACATAGGATGTTAAGATATGACTCAGAGCAGAAGACTGGCATCAAATTGAATTTAGTCCTTAGACATTGTACATTTAGAAAGGCTATTTTATTTACATTAGATTTATTTACATTTGTGAGGTCACTAGACTTTGGATTTAGTTGGAGATTACCTTGACTTGGTTTAGGCCTAGGCCTAGTCTCCCTTGACTCTCTGACACTGTTTTCCCCGAGGCTATTCTGAATAAAAAACGTTTGATCGTAACATTTTTTGGCCAAACTGAACTGTTGAGAAATTCTTCCTTAGCGGCAAAGTCTACTCCTATCTTGAAACTATCACTGATCCCTTTCGTTTCGAGCTTCTCCACTTCACAACCAACGTTGGGGAAGTTTTCAATCACAAATTGTTTAACTGCATCAACTGATGTTCCACTTTTAACTTTGCCTAGGTGAAACCAGGCTTTCTTCGTCCCTGATATAAAATCACTGTGTTTACCCGAACCAATTACAACTTTCCGAGTGTTTTTATTAAACTGTGACTGTCTAACTTTCTGTTCAAGATGGCGAGTCGCTGTTCCCTTAGCCATTCCTACTTGTGTTCGTTCTGGTTGAAACTTCTTCTGCTTCTCGCTCGTCTGCATAAGTGCTGGATCTTTGCTCTTCTTTGTTTCGTCTGCTGTAGACCTGTTTGTACCAACTGCAGTTACATTTGCGTAGCTCTTGTTATTATTTTTATTTCCTCTTACTTCTTTCCATTCATTGCTGCTTGCATTTTCAGCACCAATTGAGTTTCCAAGCGTAACCATATTATTTATTTCTTCCTGGTTTCCCTCCGAATGTTTTGGGACAGAGGAAGCCATGTTGTGACTTGTCAGGGTTTCGTAGTTGCTATGAAGCCCAGCACCCAAACCATCATTTTGTCCTGAGTTATCCGCCTGGGCGTGGTTGTGGTTACTTAACATGTAAATTAAATTATTCATTGGTTATATATTTTTAACAAAAATTGCCTCAACTGCAAGAAAGAAGAAAATAACATTTATTTTTTAAGACATTCTTTCCTATTTTTATAACTGTTAAAATAACTAAATAGCTAAATTACAACAAGTTTTGAGTTGAACTTAATATAAAAAGATCATAAACAAATCAATCAACATATCACAATTTTAGGGCCTGTTGACTGGCTTCATGGCTGCAAGCAAAAGAAGAAAATAAAAATTCTATGTTTCCACCATGCAATATGCATCATTTATTCCCTGCCTCCTAACCTCCTAAGTATAAAACCCTCACACTTGCAATAGCATTATTAGTTACATCATCATAAATACATAATTGATCTATTATTGACATTAGTAGGCCTACAGCTTTACATAAGAATTTTGTTATAGGGCCTAAAATAGTAATATGCCCATGCAACATGACAACTGTAGAACTCATTGAAGAATATATGTTGTTTAAACTGATTAGCTATAAAACTCAAAAACAGCAATTAACACACACATTGTTTATGGTTGTATTTTTTAGTAAGTACTCTATAAATTCCATATCATGTCATACCCTAGGCCTCTGACACCTTTCAAAATTAATTTCAGAAACGGTGAGGTCCGAGAAATTTGGGTGCAAACTTCTTACACTACGAGAAGCATCTTCTAAAACTAGGGCTAACTGAGTAAACATTGAGCTAGTATGACAAGTTTTGCATGAAAATCATAAATTAACAATCGATGAAATTGTACTCGCTCAAGGTTTATGTAATTAACGGATGTTGAAGGACGTCTACTATGAGGGTCATCGTCAATGCTCACAGTCTTCACAAAACCGTTTGTGCTACTCATAAACTGGACTTTTCGCTCTTTTTCACCCAGTGGCGTCATTTCACCAAATCCTTGGGGGGGGGGGGGGCAAACACTGGGGGGTACGGAATACCCCCCAGCAAACCGGAGGGGGGAGGTTCGGGGAAATTTCTAGAAAATTTTGCAGTTTTTTAAAAAAAGAGGGGTTTAAGCTTATTTTAATTGTCAAAAGCACTTCGAATAAAAACAAAATTATGAGTCAAATTTATTTGAATTCAGGCAGAAAATTAATGAAACTAACAATTATTGATAACAGACAGAAACATAATAATATGTTGGTAAGTTAGTCATCTAAGAAACTTGATCAATAGTTTCATGGTGTATTAATATTATTTTTGTTATTAGATTTATGACCAAATTCTCTTGTACAACATTTAGACCTATATAGCAATGAATACGGTTGTATTCATTGCCTATAGTTCATAACAGTTTAATTTGGTTTTTAAATAAAACATAAGTATTTAAGTACTTAAAAGCAAATAAAATTTTATTATTTATTAGTTATCAATAAAATAATTTGACACAATTAATTTGAATGTGCTACTGAGACACTAAAAAATAATATTTTTGTTTCAAATTACTGTAGAAGAATAGGCAATATTTTTGTCTGCCGTGCTTTTTAGGATTTGACAGGAGAAAATATTTGTATATTAGCTAGTAAAGCATTTTTTTCTCTCTAGCCCAGGAACCAGGGGGGGGCAAATGCCCCTCCCCTGCCCCCCCCCCAAATGACACCCCTGTTTCTCCTCAATTTTTTTCAATCGCCTCTTTTCCATAAGCTTGAATTAACATCTCATGAGTCTCACTAGGTGGTTTTTTTTTTAAGTTAAACACAGAACTTAATGTTCGCACCCTGTTTGTGAAATGCCATTTTACTATGCAGATACACGACCGACAGTAGTCGACATTGTAGACTTGCAGATACATGAAAAGCGCTTTCCAATGCTGCGCTTTCCCCAGGAGTCGTACCAACTACTGAAAGGTGAATTTCCCGCTGGCAATCACATTAAATGTTTACACAAATTCATCCTGGGAATTGTTTGACTGAAGTAGTATATCATATCTAAATAAAAAATGTGAGTTTATTCTGTGGAAATACAAACAAATGTAATTGAAATAGTTTTCCGGCAAACTATCCTTGAACTGTTTTAGTTTTAACTTTTGTGTTGTTAAATTAACCTCAAACTCTGTGAGGAATTTGTCCGGCAAAATACAATAAGAAAATTTAATCAAATAAATAAAATTGAAATCAGTTTATTAAAAAAGAACAATAATTACAGAATATACATATATTTTTTTTCAATTAAAAGTACCTACATAACTTTAGACAACTAAATAAGAATAACTCTAAAATAAAAAATTTAATAAAGGAATGGTATAATGTAGAAAACAAACTAAAACTAAGAATAGAATATAGTAAAATGACTACATAATACACTTAAAGCTGCCAACAGTAATTCAGTTAACCTTTAAACAAGGTGACACATTGAAGGGGAGATACTAGATGTAGATTCATAGGTACAACTTAACTAGACTCATAGATTCATAGATTCAACTAGATTCATAGATACAACTAGACGTAGATTCATAGATACAACTAGGCATAGGTAGGCTACAGCTAGACATATATACAACTAGATGTAGATGACACAGAGGTATGAGATCAAACTTGACGCTGCTAGAGTACCTGTCAAGTTGTATCTGCAGATTTTGGATGAGGTACAGTTTGATGCCTGACGCCAAAAAACAGGAGGTAAAACTAAATGGCAACCCAATGGATTTAATCCCTAATAACTTTTACTGTACGGAAAATGAATACAAAGGTCATTTTAGCCCGTAGGGAAGTCACAACTTCAGCTGGGTCATAGTAGAAGTAAAATCCAAAAGTATGTCGGGCGAAGTTGATGAGCAATAGCTAGTGGTTCAGGGAAAAAACTTGCAGTCTTATTTTTTTTGTTTTAATTTACTATTAACACATTCAGTGCGGCAGGCATTCCAACAGGCGCTCGCCAATGGCGGCGCGGTACCGTAACAGCGAACACAATTGGCATTCAAATATTTAAATCTGACGAATAACAAAAGGGCAGCGGCGATTGTACTACGTTAGCCCGAGATTGGACGTAGTTCCCTAAAACACCCACAGGCAGCAGAACTGCCTGGATCAGTAGTCAGTGGCTTTGTAATATGACTTGAAGAGAGAAAATCCCCGAAACCGGGGCAAAAGCATTGTCAGATGGGATTTTACGGGAAATTTTAGTACCAACCTACACCAAAATAAAGCTCACATTCTAAGCTACAGGCTAGCAACAATTTTAACGTTCCCCGGCAATGGCTGTGCTCATACTGAACTAATGTAGTAGGGGTTGAGCAACTACATCAATTGATGAAGGCCGCTTGAGGCGCGACTACATCAATTGATGTAGTCAGCACTGAACGTGTTAAATACATTTTTATTGAATAAAGGTTTTCAGTGAATATATTTCCTGGGGAAAACTAACTAAGTCCACCTATGATAGTAAAAACAGTTCATCTTTAAATTAATGCAATAAACATATAAAAAACATATTTACCAGTAGGTACCTATCAAACATGACTCTTTTAGGTATGTTTTAAACTTGTTTTGGTCTCCTGAAAAGTTTTAGTCTTGTGACTCTGTTGGTTTTAAACCTGTGACCTTCATATAGTTCAGAATATTTTTACAATAACAAAATTGTTGTTTGCAGGGTCCTAAGGCCAAACCTGTGGTATCGTTCATTGCTGGTCTGACAGCTCCCCCGGGACGTAGGATGGGCCATGCTGGGGCTATCATCTCTGGTGGCAAGGGAGGCGCCCAGGACAAGATAAATGCCCTTGAAAAGGTAAGACACAGAAAGCATCGAAACCATCTCAGTAATTAGTTAATAGGTTATTGTTATTAATAATTGTAAATATTGCATTTAGTTGTCCCTAAAGATAATTAAAATTACCAAGCTTTTTATAGTTTAGCTGCTGAGTAGAAACTTTTAACCCTGTATTACAAAAATACCTCTGCAGCAGCAAACCTGCAGACTAAGCAAATTTCAACTTGTCTGATTACATTTTTACTAAAACTAGAGGTCGTCCAGTGGTCGAAAAATCGACCATAAATATATTGTACAGTTGGATTTTTTAGCTAGAAGCGGTTGAAGTATGGTGGAATATCTTTGCGGATGAACATTTTTGGCTATAGGCTGTAGTGAGTGTGAACCATAGTAGTACGGTAATATAGATAGTAATAGATAGTAGTAACATCGATGGTGTTAGCATTGACTATTGGATACAGAAGAAGACATCCCATTTATATGGATCAGCTGTCGCCAATTTTTTACTGACAAAGAATGTAGTTTTGTGAGCCAGTCGCAGAATGTGCTAGTGTCTAAAATTCTATCTTCTACCTTATTTTTTATTACTCACATAGTTGACGGGTCATTACAGTTACTATAGCTCATAATAAGTCGGTCCATCAGTTTGACTTGGTAAAAACCGTTGTGTAATCGACAGAAGTCAGTAATTTAGATCAGTGCAATCTGTTGGTGGCTCACATCAACTAAGACAAATTTGATTTTGATTAAAAACCTGGCTACAACCAAGGCCACACTAAAAAACAGGCCGTAATGCTCGTTAAGCATGACGTCACGATAGAAGACGGCAATGATGTAATGTTTGCCGTTTGTGATCAGCTGCTTGTGTTAATCTTTCCTTGGAAAATAAATAAATAAATAAAACCTACGTCATTGCCGTCTTCTATCATGACGTCATGCTTGACGAGCATTACGGCCTGTTTTTTTTAGTGTGGCCTTGCTACAACTTTAACATGGGGATGGAATGTCTAAGGTGTAAGGTTATATACATCGATGGTGCAATCATGTGTTCAATGTTCCCATGTCAATTTTTGAGGACAAATCAAAACAAACAAACTGGCATGTTGTCAATTAGGGACAATGTTGTATTACTTACGAAAGAAATTTAATTTAAGATTCAAATAAATTAATTTAGTATGTCATTGTCTGATTTGTTAGAAAACATTCAGTTTTTAGGCTACTGCATTTTATAAACCAAACTCGAATCTTGCTTCCTTGGCCTATCGTTTAACGTTTTCCGAATCGTAAATAATCATTATGTCCCAACAGTTTATTATATTCTATTAATATAATGATCAAAATTAATCTTGCAAGAAGATTCAATATTTTAATATCTGCTCATGTTAAATTAATTATTTTCAAAGTAACCATCACTTAATTTGTAGGCAATAATTAAATAACAATTTATTCATTAGTTGATTTGGAATTAGTAATCATGTCTCCATTTCACAGTAAATATTCTCTAATGACAAAGTGATTTTATTAAAGTAGAGTAAGTATATTTAACTATTGTCAAATTCCAGGAATATATTATGCCAGTTTGTTTGTTTTGATTTAACCTCAGAATTTGCCGAATCATGTTTTTAGTCCAAATCGACCAAATGTCACATTCGACCTTGTTGGAGTTTAAATTCCAATAGCACCGAAAGAGATGTTTATGTAACAGAGCCGAAATATTTATTTTAAAAACCAACCCCATCTTTTTTCCAACACTACAAACTTTCAGGGTACCGAATTTAGAATAATTCCAATAGCTCCGAAATCAAAATAAATCCAACACTGCCGAATCGCAATGCTTTAAATTATTTGGGCTCTATTATGTTTGAAATTTGCTTTTGGCGTTGTTGCTTGATTTTGCAAACAAAATCCTTACCAGCCGAACAATATAACCCCCACCAATCTTCTCTAACAACTCTATCCGACCAACTTTCGGTTGGCTGATCTACACCCAATGAAGTTTCAAGAATGCATACGCGGCCAGTGAAACTGAACTTGTATTTTATCGTATTTCGTCATATTAAAACTGCTGTTGCATAAGGTCAAAATCTTAAAGTGTCAATAGGATTTTTTGAGAGGATAGCAGGCTTACTTGAATGGGAAAGAGTCCAAACTGGCACAGGAAACACATAACTTTACAACTATATACACAAAACATTAGAATATTTCACTGTCACTGACAGCATTTTCAACTAAGGAAGAGAGAGTTTTCTACATGTCCAAAATGGTGGCCAGTGAGTTGTTGATTCAGTGTTGCCAATGGTAGGAATTCAAAAAACACAGTTTCAGTCTCTTATATGCACTATATATATATATATATATATGAATAAATATGTAAGCCTGCTAGTTGGGTTGGATGTTGAAGTGGAGTGGGTTAGATGAAAGGTATTATCTTAGGTTTAGGTTTGGGGGTTGTCTAGACTTTGTAGACCATTGGTAAGACAATTCCCATCTTCTCAGTTGTGACTGGTTACATTGAGCAGGCAGTGATTTGACTATTTTAGATGTGTTGAGGCCAAAGAGGAAATTTTAAGGCTTTTAAACAATAAAAATCCTAACTCTCACCTCTTATGAAATTTTATGCTAATTCCCCGAGACTTGATTGCTGTGAAAAATAATAAAAACAAAATTTATGAAAAAAATGAAATGTATTAAAGAAAATAACAATTATGCTTACAAATAAAATAAAATGGCCCTTAAATGAAAATAAAAGTGCTACAATTAATATTTAATCAATTATTAATGATCAAAAAGATATTGCTGCCAGGTAGGATGGAACCCGGGATGTTGAGATTATAAGTCCAATGCTCTGACCACTAGAATATAAGTCCAATGCTCTGACCACTAGACCACAAAGTGAGTTGAAGATTAGAGCTGCAGTGGCTCAATTAGCCTCAGTTAGTGACTACTGTACTTTAATGGAACTTGTTGAGGATTGATTGCACAGGTATGCACTGTAAGTTACTGTACTGAATAAAAGTCTGTTAAAAATAAAGGGATACTGCTGACCCTTGGAAAATTAATTAATAATGAGAACGGGATGCTGATGACCCTTGAAAATAATGTCTATAAATGTCTGACTCACGACTACATGGCGAAAAATATTCTCCTCAGTCCAAGCACAAAACACATGTCACATTCTGTCTCTGTCTCTTTGTCCACTGGAGCAACCGTTGTGACCGTCCAGTATGACCATTGTACCCAACCTGTCAGCTCACCCTATCTATGAGTGATTTACTTAACTAACTTCAATGAATGAAACCATTTCATGAAAATTATTCTAACAAATGGAGTACAAAGTTTTAAATATTTATGAAACTGCAAATTGAATTACCAAAATAAAATGAATATTTTTAAATACAATAAAATAAAATCTACTTATTTTTAATTAAATAAAAAGATGCTTAATCATACTCCCCACCGAAATTTCCAAAGAAATTTCTACTGAATTTGGTACTTAATCAAAGTGACTGGTATGGAGGGGAAGAAGAGGAACAACTTTGACTGCAGGTCTTCTCAACTCAGAACGTCCACACTTTACTGTCAAAACTCTGACAATACCGTCTTCACCTGGGTGCACGTATACAATTCTCGCCAAAGGTCATTGAAGAACAGGGGTATTTGGCTCTTTCAGCAAGACAAGATCGCCTACTTTTGCGTTCTCGTAGTTCTTGGTCCATTCGTTCCTCTTTTGTAGAAACGTAAGGTATTCAACCCTTCCATCTTTGCCAGACGTGTTGAGTCATTCTTAGCAGCAATTGCCAACAAGATAAAGATGATACTTTAGTGTCTAAAAGTGACGGTTCAGGGGTGGCAAGGAGTGATGTCCCAATCAAAAAATGGCCAGGTGATAGGAACTCAGTTTCTTCAGGAGATGAAGACAACGGACATAAAGGTCTGGAGTTTAAAACAGCTTCAATTCTGACAAACCAAGTTGTGAGCTCTTCATATGTGAGTGGTGTGTCACCTGCCACTCTTCGTAGAAGTGTCTTCGCTGACTTCACGGCAGCTTCCCAGAGGCCTCCGAAGTGGGGTGCTGAAGGAGGATTAAAGCTCCACTTTATTTCCAATTTGGTTGCTTGATGAAGTATGTCCTCTTGAGTTGACTGTTGGCGATACCAAGACCCAAACTCTCAACTTGTTAGCAGCTCCCTGAAAATCTGTGCCACAGTCTGAGTAACACTGTTCGGGGAGTCCTCTGCGACCAATAAATCTATTGAGAGAGCAGCCAGAAATGCATCTGTACTCAGTTCACTGACGATTTCCAAATGAACGGCTTTGGTAGCCATACATACAAAGACACAAAGGTAGGCTTTAGTGACTGCCGCTTTTCTTCGTTGAGATTCTCTCATGGGGAAAGGACCAGCAAAATCGATACCTACATGAAGAAAGGCTCTACTCGGATTTACTCTTGATGGAGGAAGATCAGCCATTCTGGGTGTGAGGTTCTTTGCCTTGTCTTTGTAGCAAGTCAAACACTTGAATGTGCGATGACGAACGAGACTTCGTAATGCAGGTATCCAGAATCGAAGCTGAATTAATGCTTGCAAGAGACCAGGTCCTGGATGTAAATACAGCTTATGATAATAGTCCACAAGCAACGTAGTGAAGTGACACTTTGGCAGCAGAATAGGATGTCTTTGATCGGAAGGAAGTGAAGCTCTGTTTAGTCTTCCGCCAACTCTAAGGGTGCCATTTTCATCGAAGAATGGAGAGAGGTTGGAAAACTTGGAATTGGCTATTTCTTCCTTGTTGCAAGTGTCGTCTTGAAATATGTAGTGTGACTGAAGCTTATTCACTACATAAATTAAAGCTTCCCTCATTTCAAAAGGGTGTAGCGGACCGATGCGGATTAGACCAGAATTTATTTTTGCCATTGCATTGGTTATAAATCTTTTCCACCAAGCAATTGCTGTCAAGATCTTGTAATATGATGATTGTGATGAGATGAAGGTTATGATGAAAGGTTCCGAGTCAGTAGA